TCTCATCGAGAATCGATTTACTTAACGAACTGGGGGAGCATTTTTCTCGCGAGATTCGTCTCAGGTGGAGGAAGGCAGGCAGGAAAAGTATGGGTATTGCGTAGTGTTCCATCCGATTCCAATTAAAGACTGCTCGAAACGTCGTCGCAGTGGGTTTCCCTTCCTGACGCAAGCAAAGATGCGAATCTGTCCGTTACATTCTCTATGCATTACCGACAACCCGATTCCTTCCACGTTTTCTCGGAAATTGACTACTCTGCCTCGAACAGTGACGACAAGAAGAATCGACGTTTACCTTCGATCGATGCGAGAAACGCGAGGAACAAAATGAGCGACTGAATTATAGAAGCTCCGAACAATACGAATCTATATATCGTTTCATTAATATCAAATTGCACCGGTTTCAACATAATAGCTACAGAATTGATTAACGTCCCATGTAATGGCGAGACTTTCGATCATCGAATTTCACTTATCTTCATCTCCGTTTCTCGCATATGAAATCAGAATCCTAGCGCTGACTATCCGGACGATCGCAGGAAATTGAAACTGGTGCTTATCTAGCGCGATCTCATTCCGAAAATTCAATGATCGACGAACTATGCGCGTGCGGATTAAGTACACGTCGTTATCGATTGCCCGCCGTATCGCGTCGGTATTATGGACGGTAATTAATTTACATCTTGCATGTTTGTACATCGAATTGTACACATTTATATAATGTCAACCAATTCTAATTTGGCCAACAAAGTACAAATTTAATGATAAATCCCATTTTCGTTGTATTGCAGAGTTTCAGTGCGTCCTTCAAACCTCGCCATGCATAGATTTTGAACTTCCAGCTCCAATACGAAGGTCTGCGAGGCTAGGCGCGACGCAAAACGGTAAGTTTGATCGATTTTTAATAGTGCACGTTCCGATTATCCGGTCAGATTAGCATATATACTTAAATCATATTTTGCGAATTGACAGTAGTGGACGACTCCTTTAGTTAGAACGACGCGTATCGAAGAGTTTTATTAACGATGATAAATATTCACCATTTGATAAGGAACGCGATTCCACAAGCGTTGCAATTACCCTGTTGCGCTCAGATTCGGAATCCGATCGGGAAACAGAGACGAACGGCAGGTCTCCGCACACGCGCACAGTACGTGTATCACTCTCGAAGAATAATTCAGAGAGCCTTCAACATGGTGTACGAGTTACGGGGCGACGGTGCAATATATCAATTCGAATCTCCGAGCGGCGCGAAATTTCTCGTCATGATTCTTTCGTCGGCGCGATAGTAATTACCGAGTATCGAAGAGAGAAAATTACACGTGAGAGAGAGAGAGAGAGAGAGAGAGAGAGAGAGAGAGATCTTGCAAACGTTCGCAAACGTTTTTACATTAAGGTTTTATGTGCTGCGAAGATGTCGAGACTTGAATAAAAATGTCTCCTTAAATAGCGAGAGAAAATCAAACCAGGTTTTCACTATTTACTTTAGACGATTTTAATCGAGCTAGTAATGGTCTTCTATAACTTCAAATTGTGTCATAATTATTTTAGGTAAAATTTAATTAAATCTGCGTGATTATTCATATGAATTGTTAGCCTTTGGCCAAACAATAAACGGTTATATTCTTCGTAGAGAAACGCTCGGTCGGAATCACGAGTTGGAAAATTCACACGACAACGTGAAGCATGCGAGAATTTAAGCAAGAACCATAAGAGAAATAAATTCGCTCGGGGATAGTTCTCGGAGAATTCCGAGCGCTCGCCTACTGGATACATCGACATTTTCGAGGATAAAAGAGACTCTGTGATACTCTGTGAGACTCTGTGATATCGAACACTTCATTCTATTTCCTTATCTTGGAGAAGCAGAGAATATAAAGTATAATAAGATGGAAAGCCCGTATATACCTGTTCAAAATTCCGATTATTGTATTAATATTTTGATTGATATAAAAAAATTAGAGTTTTTTTTTAAATTAAATTACTAATATAAATTAGATAGATATACGATCGAATCGTATGAGTTGAAAATTATTAGAAGAATAAAACTCTTGTACATCTTTTTGCTTACTACGAAAGAATCTTGCGTTTATTCAATCCGTCACAACGAGCGAGCAATTGAATAATTGCTAAATACGAGATATTTTTTTTTAGCTATTTAAGAAAGAGAGCGAGAGAATCGTTCATGAATATTTCAGTAGCGCGAGCTCGAGCTCTCTCTGAACGCAAAGGTAAGAGGACTGAAAAACACGTAGAGTACTTTTTAAAATAAGAAAAGCATTAATATATTTTTCTTAAGAGACAAATGGTACGTGAGAACATTCCGCGCATTTCTCGCTCTCTTCTCTCGCTGTGTATATTCTCCTAGAAATTTTCAAAGAAGTTTTTTGCCGCGTTTCTGCGTGCGGAAAATAAACGGGACAAACTTTTAGCTACGTAAAACATCATTATTAACCGTGCGTAGGCGTGCAGACTAAATTTAACGTTATATACCGTTGATACTGAGCGCTACGTATAACGAGAGACTCGTCGACGCGTAAAATGCAACGTGGGCGTGGGAAGTACGTGCCGTTGCGTCACGATGAAAAAAGACGGTGCGTTAAATCGCGAGTTAGAGTACGACGTTAAAATTAGCGGTTGAGACACGCAATTCGAATGCATCGACCGGTCAGCACGTTTCAGAAATATCTTCTCCAATATCTTCGTATTGCAATCGCTATGCGATAAAATTGATTGTTGGAATCAATTGTCAGAGTGATTCGTAGGTGGTTTCGTTGACCTATCGGTTTGACCCTGCGCTCGTCGATCGTGTCGTTATCCTACCCCTTACGTCCGGCTTCCGTTCCGGTATACGTTGTTCGGTTACCTTTTTTTTTTTTTTTCAGATAGCACTATCCCGTGATTTTCGATCTAGATATCCTGTTTTCCTTGCAATGGAGATTTACTTTCACACTTTTGTTCGTCTACACGCTCTTATCAATCTACGTGTTTTAATCGAATAAATCATAGCGTTTCATAGCAAAATGGATATATATAACAGAGGCAAATATATGCGTATTAATGGCGAACTTAGTACTTTGAATATTTGAAGCGCTTCTAATGATTCGATTAACTAGTCATTTTCGCAGAGAGTTAAGTGAATGGATTATTTCCATTATGCGTCCTGTCTGTGAGCCATTCTCACAAGGAGTAGATTCCCGCGAAACAACATTAACGAGCAAGTTGCAAAATGGCCGGGAGAAGTTGAGCCGATGGCTGAATGGATTAAAGCACAACTACGTAGCGTATAGAATATCCCGCTTCTTCCCCGAGGCTCTTCTTCCCTCCCCTTTCAAACCTATGCGAAACTTTTCGCAATTGTTAGTGTATTAACTTACTTTTAAAGCGGCTTTACTTTCGCGCATTTTTTGTCGGCGTGAAGCTACGCCAGGCGGCACGAGAAAGCACTCTCTGATAATTGACTTAATTTGCATCCCTCCCAGTGCAACCCTCTGTGCGCGGATAATATCAAATGGTCAATGATAATAATGCACTAATCGTGTTTACTCGTTCTCATGAAACGTACGTTTCATTCATATCAGCGTTATTTTCGAGAATTTTCATTAAGAGAAATTCCAGCGTATTACATGTAGCTTCTAAGTTCTATTCTATGTTTCAAGTATCGTTAATGTAGTAAAAAAATATAAAAGATTGTTAACTATTTGCATGTCTGGTTGCTATTACGGTCTCTTGGAGATTCGATAGTCAGCGGCATGTACGAACAAGGGAAACTTCTAAAATATTTAGTTAAAGTTTACTAGCGCATATTTTCTACTGGTAATACTAATGAAAAAATGGCGTATAAACATCCTAACTATTTTAAGAAACATCCTAGCATGTACAGAAAAGTTTTCCATTCTGAAAAGAATTTGAGGTCGACTTGCCCGGGCTGGCTGGAGTTTCTCTCGTAGCGAGACCTCATTCTATTTTCTTCTTTTCCCTTTTCCATTGCGTTTTCCTCGTGTATGGAATTGATGGTAAAATGAGTACTTCGGTGCTATCAGAACTGTATTTGTATCAGATCGAGTGGCACCTACGTGAAACGACATTACTTGTACGAGAACGAAAGTTGGCGAACAAGATGTGGCATTTAACTGAAGCAGTCACAACGCGAGCTTCAAGCCATAAATTCTTACTTATGTATATATAATTCCAGACATGATTTATTTGAGACAGAAAAGAAGAGATAACTAACACTTGACAATTCGATTCAAGCAACAAAAGACACTCCTACGTGGAAACGTAATGCGTAACGAACTCGAGAAACAATTTTCACGCCTGATCATCGAAATGGGAAGTAGAAAAGAATATTACTGTCCCTTAGAATGTTTACGAACGCGCCGTAAGTGCTCGTTTTACAGCTCTTAAAATAGTTAGAGTTGACCGGTGGATCCACGTGCATGAGCGTGAAACGTCGTAAAGTCCTTTTTTTACAGTCGAGCGTCCCTCAAATAAGAACCACGCTGTAAAGCGCCCCGTAAGGGGAATTTACATAGCCTCGCCTTCTATTTACCATAAGGTGCGATAATAAAACTAATGATGCCGTTTTACCGGTTCCCCCGAAGGAAGCGATAAAGTTCGTTTTCCATGGTGCGGCGACGTCCAGACAAGGCAGAGACTTCTTCCGTCTTGCGGCTTCCGACTTCCAACTCGATTTCGTCTCGCGGCGATTCGATTACGGACATCTATACCTGGTAACGGACTGAACGTCAACAGACCTGAAAGGGGAGGAGAAAACGTGAGGGACGGATAATCTCGTGTGAACGAAAACGCGGCTGGTTGTTCACGAGCCGACCGGGGGAAGGCGTAGCAGCTTCTATTAACGTTTTATCGCGCCGTAATGCATCGGCGTAATGCGCTTCGGCTGCGCGCTGCAAATTATGAACCGTGACCCAACTTGCCGTGCATTAAATTTTGAAAATAGAGCGCTTCGGTTACCGAGCACGAAGGGTGTAAAATGGATAGTTATTAGTATCGTTAGGATAAAATCGCGTTCTATCGGAATATGAAGTCTCCGGGGCACATCCGACGCCCCTTTCGCGCTCGACGTTGCAATATATCGAATTACGCGAGGCGAATGCATCGCGGTATCGTCACCGCGATTATATCACCGCGATTGTAAAAAGGCCCGCATTATACCGGAAATACACATGAACTTTTGACCCGACCCGATTTTAGCTTTAGCAATATTCATAAATTCATAAACGCGTTGGCGTGGGCCAATGAATTTATTGGAAACGGACCTCGGCGATGTGTCTGTGATTTCATTCGCTTTAACGGCAATGAATATTTATCTCCTTTCTTCGCTTACGTTTTTTTTTCCCAAAAAAAAAAAATATTACGAGAAATTAATTAAAGCGAATATATAAACGATGCAGCGACGAGTAAAGGGAACGCATAGTGGAGCGGCACGTGCATTTTTTATGAATATTCATGAATAAAATGAAGTTCACTTCGCGAAAATTTGGCCTTTTATATTTTGTAACTTTGCTTGCCAGTTGTGTATAGATTGTTCACAGTTACTATTACTAAATTACCAGACGATTGTGGAGCGTTCTATCGCGCTCGGTTTGGATTGCATCGAGCACAGAGCGATGCGGAAATTCTCACGAGCGAGGCATGCCCGTTAGCGATTAATCAAATATCGATTGTGGCGAACAAATGGAATCGAAGGCTGGGATCGCTTCCTGCGACCTGCGCGGGGCAACTAATGAAATGAAAACGCGAAGGAGAAAGAAGCGCGAACCGCCTTTTGTGCGGGCTTTTGTAAGGTGAGAGATTGCGTCAGTTCGCGGCGCATTCGCAGTTTGGATAACCGGGATACGTTTACATAAGTATTCGGACTAATTTGTATCGCCCACGCGAGGACAAGCGTGGGCGAAACTACGCACGTCTGATCAATAATAGACTCTTACTACTTGCCGAGGACGAGCCGACTCATTAATTCGACGTGCGATCACAATTGATATATTTTTATCTGTGTATATCTTCTCACGAGCTTCATTACGAAGTAGCAATCAAGTAGATTATGATTTCAAATCGATGGAGAACCTGCTCGCGAAAATAAACGATATATTCTCGGTGGAAACATGGCTCTTTTGAAGGATGTCAGGTAGGCGTCGGATACACGCATTTGCGTGTCTTCGATCGATGTTTCGTCGCCGGTTACTCGTTTTAAGGAGAAAAGGGAGGTCAGGTCGATCGCCAGTCGGCAAGACCTTGACTCAGTGGCCGTATGCAGTAGTGAGTGCGCACGCGCTCTCTCTCTCTCTCTCTCTCTCTCTCTCTTCTTCTTTCTGTCAGTCTGGCGGCAATAAGCCAGGGTAGAACGGAGTAGAACGTCGCTACTACTACTACTACTACCCCTCTACTATTACTACGCTTACGTTTACCACCCTCTCGTTTGTACGCCTACGACACTCCGCTCACGTGCTACAGCTCGATTCTCCTACGCAACCGATTAACGAACGCGTCACGAAGAGATTACGAGATTTGCGCCCGATGCTCGACACTCAATCTCCGATCCCTGACCTCCGACTCTCGAAGGAAAGGTAAAGTCAACCCTTGTGCGATTTAGGGTATGAGATTCGAATAAGCTATTCCTATTTCCTAGGACCAGTATTCCTACTCGACGAAACGTTCACGTTATTTTTTTTTTGTCTAAAGTCGAGAATAATTTCTGTTGTGCTTTTATCACTCGCGTTGTTTAGTTTTATCACTCGCGTAGTTACTAAACAGTTGCAATTAGTTCGTTTTCCCCGTGGAGATTACTAATCGTTCTGCTTTTACATACAAATACAAGCGTTATCCACGGCTACCGTTATTCGGAGTCGTTCTATTAGTATGCATAACCGATTCTTTTTCCTTTTGCGCATATCTTATTTCTCACGTCGCCCGAATAACGAGAAACACGGGAATAATTCGAATATTTTAGTTTGAAAACCTCACTTCCAGAAGTCCATCGGAAAATTTTAACGATTATTAAACATTTAACTGCAAAGGCAGAACATTAAATTGCAATTAAATATTAAATAAATTCAACTTACAAGTTACAAGAGTAGTCTCTCGTTTCTTTCAATTGCTGAAAAATTCATTCTGCAAATGATATCTCTGATTGGCAGTTGATATGAAAAATTCAAGCAGTCATTATTTCGAATAGTTCTTTACGATATAATTGGTAATGCTATCGATTTTACGGTTGAACAGAAAACGGACGCATTTTAACGCGCTATTCTCGCGTTATGAATAATTATGTAATTTGCGGCGAGATGTCGAGAGATTCTACCGCGGAGTATATCGATCATACGCCGCAATTATCCGATATCAACGCACGCGCGTTCAAACTGTGCGAAATCTCATTTTCCTATTTGATACAGAATAAATTATTGCGTGTTCCCCTTATGCACGTATGACAAAGTTACATAAGACAAAATAATGTGACAGCTATCATATGAGAAAATGCTGTAGGTTCATTGCCAGTGCCTTTAATGCCATAGTTATTTAT